CAGGGTTTTCATTTATTTATTCCTTAGTCATTTATTCCTATTCTAGTTATTCCTTCATTTGATTTAAAATGCAAGTTTATTACTGTTTTAGTTCTACTATCCGTGTGTGTGTGTGTGTGTGTGTGTGTGTGTGTGTGTGTGTGTGTTTGAGGCAGGGTCTCTATGCAGTTCAGGCTCGCCTTGAGCTTATTTTGTGCCTACGCTGGTCTTGAACTCACAATGATACTCCTGCCTCAGCCTTCCAAGTACAGACATAAGCCACCACACCCAGCTAGTTCTACCATCCTTGAAATGCTTTTACTCTCCCTGCCATAAACAAAAAGCCTCAGTGACCAAAGTCCCTAAGAAACAGCTGTCTGTGAAACAGAACTGTTAACACCATAATTCAGGTAATCTACATTGTGCCTTGTGTAATATACTCAAAGAAGACCAGTTGCATTTGATGTGGTAGTATTATTTAAATAAAGCAGATATTAGATCAGTTTTTAAAATACTATTTGTAATTTTGGAGCATTTTAAAGAATCTTATAATCCTCAATTTCAAGTGAGTAAGTAAACACCAAGCACAGCAGAGTGCACTTCTAGTCCCAGCTCTCAGCTCAGGAGCTTGAGTCAGGAAGATCTTGAGCCCAGGAATTTGGGGCCTCCCTTGGAAAGTAATGAGATCTTGTGTTTTAAGAAAAAAAAATGAAATTGAGTATGGTGCTGTAGTTGATTTTAGACATACAAAATTATCTCACTGTCTATAAATAGTAATACTATATTTAAAAAGAACTTTAAAACTTGGAAAAATTTTGCTTATGAGGTTAAGAATTTAAAGTGCTTGAAGCAGGGCATCATGGTGCATGCCTATAATTCCAGCACTCTGGGAGCCAGAGGTAAAAGAATCATGAGTTCAAGCTCAGCCCAGGAAATTTAGCAACTTAGCAAGACTCTGTTTCAAAATAATAAAAAAAGAGGGTGAGTCTGGGAATATAGCTGTGTAAAGGCTCTAGCTTTAATCTCCAGTACTGCAAAAAATGAATGAATGAACAAATAAATAAAGTACTTCAAAGAAAATAGAATGTATCTGTTATAGTTTATATCCAGATGTCTCACAAAAGCCTAATGTGTGCATAGGTAAGGCTTTTAGGAGGTGGCTGGATCATGGTGTGTGATACTGGATTATGGGTGTGTGATAACTAGATCACTGACTGGTTTAGTGCAGTTGTGGGTGATGGAATTACTGAAAACCGAATCCCCACCCTGAGTGTGGGTGGCACCAAGCAATAGGCCTGTAGCCTGGAGGGAATATAAAAGGAAGGAAGGAAGGAAGGAAGGAAGGAAGGAAGGAAGGAAGGAAGGAAGGAAGGCAGGCAGGCAGGCAGGCAGGCAGGCAGGCAGGCAGGCAGGCTCGCTCCCTGCTTTCTGTCTCCGGCCTCGCCTGCTGCCCACTGTTTCTCCTCTGCCCCCACCATGCCACAGTGCGTTGGCATCAGCTAACTATGGACCGAAACTTCTACAAACTGAGGTAAAATAAGCCTTTCTTCCTTTAACTTGTGAGTGTCAGGTATTTTGTCCTAGCAATGAGAAAGTAAAGGAATTTTGAATTTATAAATAAATTTAAGGTTTAAGGAAAGTGAGTTAATTAAGTTGCAAATAGGTTTAATTGATGAAAAGTTACGTGGAACTGATTCAATACTAATCAGGTAATTTTTAATATTTTCTAGGTATACCCATAGTATCATCTATGATTATTTTAATTCAATTATAATGAAAACCCAATTTCTTCAGTTGTCATTTTAAGATATGGAATATTAGTTTTTAAAAATGCATGCAGTCTATTTTAAGTTTAAATGCTACATAGCAATTAAAAATATATATCAATGAGGTCCATTGTTAAATCAGATTAGACAATAAAAGATATCTATGATTTTCTTCTAAATGAATATGTTAATCTTTTGTTTAAATCCAATAGCCAGCCTGTGACAAATCTTGAACTGTATTCTTGACAGTTGGTTATTTTCTTGAAATCATCACAAAACTTACAGAAATGAAACAACATTCTATGGGTTTTTCCTTTCTCTACTCTGCAGCCGCAGCCTTCACTCAAAACAGCTACAGCAACAAACTTAAACCCTCCTGTGACTTCTCAACTTTCTCACGATGAAATCACAAATCCTGCAAGATAGCCCTGCCTACCATTTAAGCTCAGAAAGCCAGTTTTCCTCTGTTCACTGTGTTCTAGCCACGTGAATCTTTTAGCCCTACCAAACTCTACGCTGCTTCCTTTTTGGGGGATTTAGCAAGGCCACCCTGTCTGCTTGGACAGCGTTACCCAGCATTCAGTTTTAATTCTTAGAAAAAACTTAAAAGAAATCATCATCTCTTGGTCTTTGGTTGTTCAGGCAAACCTCACTCATCCCCACTGAGATATATTTTAGCTGTTCATTGTCTTTTACTATTATAAACAATGGCTCAATTAGCACCTTTGAACACTATAATATATGACAATAGAAGCCTTCAGCGTAGCACTGTATTCCCTTGGCCCTGGGTGTTTTGTTAAGCGCGGTGAGCTCTTCACTGCAGGCACCTGAGGCCTCAGGTTTCCTCAGTGGAAGAGAGTTGAGTCCCCACAAGAGTAGGGCATTAGGGTATTAGCACCCCTTCATCAAAAGCCGACTACCCATGACATGACAGGGAGGAGTTGGAGAATGACTACCCCATTCTTTGGGTAAGACATTTGGGAGGCAGATGTTTCACTGACTCCTTGTATAGAACTGAGTCCCAGTGGACCACAGCAACGGACTGTTAATTAATTTTCCACCCTGAACAGCCTTCCTTTCCCTGTCTCATGTCAACCCTGTGATTCTTGGTCTTGGTCCAAATAAACCATTTATACTCAGTGCTTCCTCTCAGGAAGAAACCCAAACTAAAACACTGTATTTGCTTACTTAGAGCTATTCAATGAATTACTAATGTAGAATTGTGAGTTGAAGGGGTAAATATTTAAAATTTTAACTAATAATGTCAAGTGGCTCTCCAAAAAAGCTAATATTGCAATGGCAAACAGAAACACCAAAACAACACGCAGGATTTGAAAGTAGATTTATTTAACGTCGGATAGGCATTGACAGGGAATCAAGTGTCCCTCAAAATATCAGGTCTTGAAAGCCCAGGGAGGGAGGTTTTGAGGGGTTGCAAGGCGGAGCTACAGAGGCTGAGTACTTGGCTGTATTTGATTGGCTCTTACAATATGAAACATAGTGCCAAGCTATGCAACAGAGTAATTGGTCATTTCTAAGAAACAGAAGTAACTGGAGCTGCAACAGAAACTGTCTCCTGGACAACTGAAGTGTACTGGGGGGGGGGGGTGGATTCTCTGCTACAGTATCAAGAATGCATATTTAGCAAGGGCTACTTAATTTATTTTTATTTATTTACTTATTTATTTATTGGTACCGGGGATCAAACTTATGACCTCGCACTTGCCAGGCAAGCACGTGGGCCGCTGAGCTAAATCCTTGGCTCCCATTTAAAATTTTTAACATATATCTTACTCTAGACAATTTGAGATTATATTTCTAAAGGTGAGCTACTCCTAGCCAACTTTTAACTAGCATATTTGGTAACTTGCTAAGAGAAAACAATGGAGTCAGGTAAACTCAGAATCTCACATCTCACTTTTAAATTTATGTGTTAATCTTATTTGTTAGTTATGTAACCTGACAAGTAATTAAGATTTCTGAGTATCATTTTCTATGTCTAAAACAAATATAAATGCTCATAGACTTTTTTTTTTTTTTGGACGGATAACTATGATGATGCATTAAAAAAAAGAAAGAAAAAAGAAATCACAGTGTCTGGTAAGTTATAAGAACACAAAATGATACTTATTGTTGTTACTGTAGAGAAAAAACGACAATCATATTCATATCCAAGAAAATACTCAAGTATCACTGAATTGAATTCTTTAATCTACGCTGTTACCATACAGATCAAATGACAGGAAAGCTAAAAAAATGCTGAAAAATGTGTTGCTACCTGTCCTCCAATTGGTTAAGCCTCATTTGTTTTAAAGCTGGCTAGTTGCGTGTTACTCTTCCTGTTCTTTTTAAAGATCAACATTTTGAGGCCGTTTTAAACTTTACTCAGTGTGAAACTGCCACTTCTTCCATTCTGCTTGCAGCTACCCCACTAAACCGGCAGTCCTAGCCTCACTTTTTTCTTTTCTTTTCTTTCCTTTCCTTTCCTTTCCTTTCCTTTCCTTTCCTTTCCTTTCCTTTCCTTTCCTTTCCTTTCTCTCTCTCTCTCTCTCTCTCTCTCTCTCTCTCTCTCTCTCTCTCTCTCTCTCTCTCTCTCTCTTTTCCTTCTGTATCTACCTAGAGATGGAGTCTTGCTTTGTTTCTCAGGTTGGTCTGTGAGACCAACCTGTAATGATCCCTGATCCTCCTGCCTCAGCCTCCTGAGTAGCTGGAATTACAAGTGTACACCAGCGTGACTAGCTCTGGATCGCCCTCAGTCAGTGTCCGTTTGGCTAGTGGTTTGAGCACTGTGACACAGTCAGATCAGGGCTGGAAATTTAGTTTTGAACTGAATGATTTTTTTCAAATATTCAGTTATTTTGAAATAGATGTTTGTGGATGGTTGCATTTTTATATGCTCATTACATTTTATATGCTCATTTTTATATGCTCATTCCTTCTTCAGATTTTTATTGAATACCTATGATAAAATTAGCAATTGCTACTATGGTGAACAAGACATACACATCCTATTTTCATGGAGTTACAACCTTCAAAATACACAAAGGACTGATGTGATTTAATATTTATGCTTTTTCCAACAATGGTGGTGCATGTCTGTAATCCCAGCACTTGGGAGGCTGATGCAAGAGAATAGCTGTGAGTTCAAGGCAGCCTGGGCTACATAATGAGTTTGAAACTAGCCTGGACTATATAGTGAGATCTTGTCTCTAATAAATAAATAAATACATAAATAAATAAAATTGTGCTTAAGAGTTGTGCAAGACTCTTATTAGGAATGAACTTACAAATTAGACAAATTGTGTTTTAAACTTTCTCTCCAGATTTTTCATTTTAAAAGTACAATCACTTTTGCTATGGAGAAGTACCAAGAATCACAAGTTTCCCAACAGCCCTCTCAAATAGAAGAGGATGAAGTATAAGATTTTTACTTTAGAACCAGTCACATCACTACATGATCTAATTAAATCATATCAATATGCGAGAAAGATGCTCTTTTATTTAGAAAAAAGAATTGAGATTCCAGTAGGGGGATAATCTTGCCAAAGTCTATTACTAACGAATGCCATCACTGTGATGAGAGCCCGGCGCTTCCTGCTTGTTGCTTTGGGAGGTGGCTGGACCAGGCTGCGTGATCATGGGTGGGACAGGAGGAAGGCGGGCTGACTGCTGGGTGCTTTGTATTTCCCCTCGTGCAGTATGATATACTTGTTCACATACATTCAGTTAGCATTCGTTCTTGCCTTCCTTCTCTTCCAGGAAATTAGGAAGCATGTTTGCATATCATTAACCTTTGCGGTTCCACAATCTAACACAATGCTTACAACGCAGTTGTAGGACCTTGAGAAACGTCCAGCTGAGTTGAGATGGCTCTTGAAAACTGTATGGAAGCACGACTGAAAAAGAACAAGAGAAAAGCGTTGCAGGTGAAGGCAAGCGCGGAGGCAAAGGTGCAGAAGTGACACTGACTGCGGCGTGGGGGTGGAGGCGCCTCTGCAGAGCAGGCGCAGAAAATCTGAAGAACTGAATGCCAGGGCGGAGCACTATGGGGGTGGGGACCCGTGATCTGGGAAGGAAGATCACCGAATCTCGAAAGGTAACCTGATAGTAGAGGCCTCTTAGAAGAAATGGGGCCCGCCAGTCACAGCAGTCCTGGAAACCCAAGCTGCTGGAGGCGCACTGGAGACATGAGTAACACGTTGGTGCGCAGCCGTCCAGAGGAGTTCTGAGCCAGCCTTCGCCTCCTCGGGGCTGCTAGACTGCATTCCAGAGTGACTTAATGATCCTCACACTCCATTTGATCCCAAGTATATCTGTAGAGGAGGCCCAAGAAAACATCTCGAGTGCGTGGAGTAGCCGGATTAGAAAGCACTTCTCTCATTTTTTTCTTCCCCACTAAATGCTGACTCCCCATTGGCTGAAGGGCCGCGTTCTCCAGCCTACTGGAGTCACTCACGGAGAGACTCGAGGACTGGGGAACAATAAAATTTCACACTGTTTCTCACCATACAAAGAAAAGGCCAGTGTGGTGGCACACGCCTGTAATCCTAGCACTCTGAGGCGGAGGCAGAACAGTCACAAATTCCTGCCAGCCTGGCCAGTGTAGTGACTTTTGGAGACCTTGTCTCAAAAAAATAAATAGATAAAAAATAAAAAAGGCTAGAGATGTACCTCAGTGCAGAAGTTCTGGGTTTATCAACAGTACTGGGAGATGACGATGATGATGATAGCAATAATAATAATAATAATAATAATAATAATAATAAACACGATTTTAAGAGGCCAATAGGGAAGTTTTCCACATGCTGGAATCATTTAGCCTGGGTTTTCATCACAAAGAAGCCTTAGGATTTGGCTGCAATTTAGTATGGAATTTTCAGGAGTTAAGGAAATACCTTGTCCCAAGTATCATCTTTAAACAAAGTGTATGAATCCCTCTAGTGAGCTACTTTAGGGTGAAAGATGAATTCCAGGTACAGGATCTCAAATGTTGAAAGCTGCCTTGCTCACAGAGGACGTTTCAAGATGAAAGAGAACAGACCAAAACCACAGCTTGGTGATGTTGGTCCCTAGAGAATGGGAGGAAATTTTGGGGGGATGATTGTCTTTAAAAAGATAAAGTCTCTTTTGGGCAATTTTAAGTTTTTTTCTTGCATGAAACCTGAGCAGTTTAGTTTATGAAGGGGTTTTGCCCATACCTGTTCACTGGATCCTCACAGTAGGTCTGTGTGGCCCATCACTAATAGGTGAGAGGCTAAGTCCAATGAGACTTAGACAACCGGAGAGGAAGTTTCAGGATTGGAGCTAGAATTCACCTTGTCGTTTCCCTAGTGCAGTACAGCAGTTTTCCTTCCCTAAACATGTAATTTGAAAATGTCTTTATGATTATTTCTCATTAGTAGATTCAAATCAGAGCCTCAGACCTATCATCTTCAAATAACGGCAAACATAAGGTGAGGCTGACCGTGACCCAGGTGCTAAGTTACATTCTGAAAAATACAGAGATAAATAAGTTATAGACTTTAACCTTCTGGTCCCAGAATCGCATGTCATCTGCTAAGAGTTAAATAGTCAACTAAAGTTGGATATAGAGTTGAACAGAGACCAATTTAGAGTGAGCATGGTTCCATGTGCCTATAGGCAGTCCTAGTTTCTTGGGAGGTGGAAGCAGAAGGATGTGTTAAACCCAGGGATTAAGGGCAGCTTGGTCAACATAGACTTTGGGAAGGAAGAAGGAAGGAAGGAAGGAAGGAAGGAAGGAAGGAAGGAAGGAAGGAAGGAAGGAAGGAAGGAAGGGGAGATGAAAGAAAAATCAGTTCTCTTTGTAGTGACTAGAGAGTAGGCTCTGGGGAAAAGTAATGATTAAAGCTTTAGCTGTGTACATGTATAATCATTGTATTATCTCACTAGTGTGAGAAGCTGAAAGAAACAACATATGTATATGAACATATATGTACGTAGAAAATGTAGTTAAGATAGTTATACTACTGATTTCTCTGACTTCACTGAAGAGAAAGATTTGTGCTGATATTATTTGGACAATTGAATGCAGATATCTTATGCTGGGGGTAAATGATTTGGGGATGACAATGCACAATATCAGTATTATTGATGTCCCCTGATTGACCTATTTTGAAATTTTGTTTCATTTTTTTTCCTCTTTGAAATAAAATGGATTTTTAAAAAACTTGGCTGTGTAAAAGTAGGAGTGTGACTGGTAGATGAGGGTGAAACAATAGCTCATGCAGACATATGAAGTGTGAAGTAGCTGGATCACAGGAGGAGAGAGAGAGACAGAGAGACTGACTTCCTGCTCTTTCAATCAGCATTACCCACTTGTGCACTTTGCAGCCACATACTATTCATTTGTTTTTCATTCATTTAGCAAATATTTATTGAGCCTCTGCTATATAAGAAACTCTATTCTAGAGGCTGGAATTACAATAAAGTAAGTAAAGTCCTTGCCTTTAAAAAGTCTCGTGGGAGGAAACGAGCTATAAAAAATACATTAGGAGGTGTTAAGGGTAAATAGGTATCTAACACCGCATAGGAAATCAGCTCCAGAAATACATTATTTATGATTAATTTGGCTATATGTAACAAAAATCCAATGTAACCGAGACTTACACAATATTTGGTTTATTTATCATGTAATCGAAGGCAGTTCTGCAAGTTACCAAGTTGTCAGAGACCAAAACTCTTAAGCTTTGTTCCACTCTCCTTGGGGTGGATGCTGGAGCCCAGGGGTTACAGCAGCATCTACACAGCAAGAGGGAGGAAAGAAGAATGGCCTTTTAAAAGGGTTGTATAAAAACAAAGTCAGATGCAGTTTCTACTTACTTGTTGCTCTTCCTAGTCACAAGGGAAACTTGAGAAATAGGCTTTTGGGAGTTTTGTTGTTGTTTACTTTTAGAGCTGTGTAGCCATAAAAGTGGGCATTCTGTTTTCCTCTCTCTCTCTCTCTCTCTCTCTCTCTCTCTCTCTCTCTCTCTCTCTCTCTCTCTCCTTTTGTTGTTGTTTCATGAGACAGGTTCTCACTATGTAGGTCAGACCACCCTTGAACTCACTATGTAATCCAGACTAGTTTCAAACTCTGATCCTCAGCCTCAGCCTCCCAAGTGCTGGGATTACGGCGTGTACCCCACCACACCCTGCTCATTGTTTCCGAAGAAGTGAAAGATGAATATTTGAAAGTGTAATAATAGTCAAAATCCCAAGAGGCACCAGCTGGTACACTCAAATTAGGGAAGGTTTATTTGTGAATGGACTATTGTAAAGGTGTGTGTGTCAGAGTCTCACAAAGCACAGAGCAGTGACTGGGGGCCAGTGGTGGTTACTGTTAAGAATCTAAGGTCCAGAGGGGCAGGAGAGTGAGGGTTTCAGAATCCAAGACAGAAATGTACATTTGGTTGCCTCCACGGAGACTCAGACTTTGGCTGAAGGACTCAAAGCCAATCAGAAGTAGCTGTTTAGGAAAGAACCAAAGGGACTAAATACTCTGACTTCCCTCTGCTCTCGCCAAGGCTTTCTTTTATTCTATCCTATTTGGAAGCCAGAAGGCTGGAAAGTCCCCCTGTGAGCTGAGAGAAGAGGGAGGCATAGATCTGTAAACACGTGGCGCAGAAGGTGGTGAACAGTGTCAGTTGCAGGCACAGGTCTGGGAAATCCAGATTCTCCTTCTCTCCTCGTGTTTTGCACCTCGTCCTTTTTCTCTTGTAAATTTTCTTCTTGCTTCTTTCTTCTTTCGTGCTCCCATATCTTCTCCCTGCCCTCTCTGAAACTGCTCTTGTAATTCTTCCTGATTCAGAGTCTATCTTTTCAAGAAGCAACATTTCTTAACATTATACCCAGCTTCTGGATCCAGCACAAAACACTGCAAAACTGTCTTCAGGGAGTACACTCCCACTTCTATTTCTGTCTCAGGAACAGGATAATCCAACTTCACAAAAATTCACAAAATCTCAAGTATTGAGAGTTCATGAATAATGAGGAAAATTTGCTTTAAGGATCATCGCCAAATATGCATCATTTCAGAGATTGTTGTCATCCATTTTTGACTTGCTATGTTTTTTCTCAGTTTGCTATTGATTGGCATATCCTGCTGTTCTCTCTTAGTGGAATAATTTAATTCCAGTTGTCAACTAATCATTTAAAAAAACTTCCTGAAGCTTAACAATCACTGCCTTGATGTTCCTGGGTGAAGGCACACATGATTAATTTAATAAATAAACCTTGGGAACAATGTAGTCAACCCTGGCATAGTATCTCATTAGCAGATAACATCGCTGAATGTGGAGTAACCATAAACCCTAGAAGAAAAACCTTGGGTTCTGAGTAAGGATCAAGCATCTATGAGTTTCTTCTTTTGTGGCTTGTTTTTATGGGTAGCCTGTGTAGTTGCTAGCTACCCACTATCAAAACTGCTGATATTTTTCTTAAAAACAAAATATTTTTTAAAAAAATTCTAATAAATCCTGAGACCACAATTATTCTATTTCGATGGAGAAACCACCACTAAAAAGTTCAATGTATTTGTGCTTAGAACAGAATTAGTAGAATTAATTTCAATATAATGGCAATCACTTTGTATGTGACTTTATTTGATTTTATTATTTTGTTTTGTTGTTTTTGTTTTTGTTTTTGAGAAAGGGTCTTGCCATGTAGTTCAGGCTGGCTTGGTCTCACTATGTAGCCCAGGATGGCTTCAAACTCACAGTGATCCTCTGCCTCAGCCTCCCGAGTGCTGGAATTACAGACATGTGCTGTCATGCCCAGCTTCTATGTGACTTTAGACAAGTTACTTTGATTCAAAAACCTCATTTCCTGCGCTGTAAATTATAGATTAAAGCACCTACTCTGCTGAAGATTGGAAGGATTAATGGAGGTGACATGTATAAAACCGGGACCATAAATGCCTGATATTTAGTACACTCAAGAAATGACTAGAGACCGGGCTTGGTGGTGCATGCCTTTAATCCCAACATTTGGGAGGCTGAGGCAGGAAGATTTCTGTGAGTTTGAGGCCAACCTGTGCTACATCGTGAGCCCTGTCTCAAAAAAGAAAGAAGGAAAAGAAAGAAAGAAAAGAAAGAAGAAAAAGAGAGAGAAAGAAAGAAGAAAGAGAAAGAGAGAGGACTGGGTTTTTTTTTTTTCATTTATTCTTCATGAAAATATTTGACCTAAAAATCTTTAAGTACATTTCCTTCTGCAAGATCTGGACAGCTAAGGGGCTGGAGATTTAGCTCAGCAGCATAAGCACCTGCCTTGCAAGCAGGCGGTCGTGAGTTCGATCCCTGATACCGGTAAAAAAAAAAAAAAGATCTGGACAGGTAGACATTAAGATCCTGGAAGAAATTATTGGCCAACACTAATTTTAAATTAAAAGTTCACGTAGATGTTTCC